TTGGGTTTCCCGGCTGTTTTCACCTAATATTAAAAGATTCACTATTCGCTCAATAAACATCAGAACGAGTTCAAAACTTCAGGATATGATTAATTTTCTCCGCGAAACATGATTATAAGACCGAAAACTCGAAAAAGCATATTTTGGTTATTGGATTTTCCAGAAAACCTTAGGGTTTTGTAAAATTTCTTTTGAGATCTCCGATAAATAGGATATAGAATAGCTTAAAAGCTCTACATTCTGAAAATTTGAACTTCTATCAAAAGTTATTAGAAAAACAACGGAGTCCATTCTATTTTGGTACAGACAGTACATGCTGTACGGATCATTTTCGGCGCATGTGTAGGTGTATGACAACAGAATAAAAGGATAATCGAAAATGGAGTCATAAAATCTTATTGAGATCTTACTAAGATAATTTTAAGAAGTGTTTAAGATTCTTACTGGGAATCTTACACAAGCGAAAGAAGCGACGAAATATAAATAACAATTCGCAAATTTGTTTTTTTCTATCAGGAAATGAATTATAGTTTCAGTATCTGTAGTATTATATAGAATGAATCAGATCATTAATAAAAACGGTATCTAATGAACATTGTTTTTCTTGAATGATGGAAAAATTCAAAAACTGGATTGAAATAAATATCGTTATTTATGGAGATATTGTAGAAAAGTAGTGTCATAACTAGTAGACAGATTTAGCCCACCCACCTCATAGTTTTGACTAGATTTTAAGAACGAAATCGTCTTGAACGATTTTTGTCCTATACTTCGCGTCCCGTATCCGTTTATATCCCCACTACAAATATTCTGGCTAAATAATTATGAATGTCTTGCCTGTTATCTAACATCTAATTACATTTAATAGTTCTGTAACAGTTTTGGTAGTATCTTCATCAATATCTTTCTTAAAACCTCAGATATATAGATCGATTCGTTTACTATATTGCTTTTTGAATCATTGCTTTTATCTTCTAGTTGTTCTACATAATTTTGTAAATAATTGTGATTACTCGCGTTCATAAAACTCATATTATTTTCATACCATCTGTAAAACAGTTTCAATGAGCATTAATGATGATGTTAATACATTCTTTCCACATATCCTGACAAAACGACCATTATGTAACTATGTCATATATAAACAATAGAATTTTTTCTACTTTCGTCAGCTTAATTTTTTTGTTAATATTACTAGTGAAAATTGAAGATTATGTTGACGATGTTGTTAACTTTGTGGATTTTATTCTTCTAATAATTCGGTGTTTATTCTACGACTTTTCTATATCTTTACTTGGAGAATGATCCACTTATATTAAAAATAAAAAGGGTATGGTTTTATAAACATTTGAACATTAGTAAACGTAATCATCATCTTTTATGAAACCATGAAAACAAATAAGAAAAAATTTGATTTGATTTTCTTCTAGGAATATGTGATCGCCCAGCTATATGTGGTCCATCAAGTGCTTTGTGTTCAGAAACTGGTAATTCTTCTCAAGGATATTATTCATGTTTTTGTTCGAACGGTCAATATTTAGTTGGAAAACCTTGCCCATATGGTAAGTTGAGCAACTGAAAAACACCTCAATTTTATCACTTTTCTGTTCTTTCAGACGCAACAACGACGATACCAACAACACAGGAACTAACGACAGGGCAGCAAATGACAGGGGGACTAACGACAGGGCAACAAATGACAGGAGGACTAACGACAGGGCAACAAATGACAGGAGGACTAACGACAGGGCAACAAATGACAGGGGGACTAACGACAGGGCAACAAATGACAGGGGAACTAACAACTGAGGAGAGACCAACGACAATAGGAGTTATTGCAGTGACAACCGGATCATAATTTTAAACTGCCACGTTCTGTTTACTTTATGCTCTAATGAACTGAATATTTTTGGTTCGTGTCACCGTTCTACTCTTAAACTTTTAAATACACGTGATGTGCTCTAACTCTAGTGAGAACTAAAACTGTAGTTTATTGTCAACGAAACGAAATAACTCTAGTTTTTTTGGAAAACTTGTGAACGAATTTGGGATATTAATGATGTAATTATTGAAAATTTTGGTCAATAAACCTACTGGCAGTTTTGTGATCGTAAGGATTTATCTTCAAAGTCTCTTGTATCGGCGCACTATATGTATATAGATAACAGATCTTTATTCAAACGCTCGGTGAATCTCAACTATTGAGCTACTGGTTATGTATGCCAACAACAGTAGAAAAAGTTTTGTTGGTCGCGAATCTCAGAAAATTTCCAAGAGATAAGTAAAATATATAAATTTCAGAATAGAGGGGATAATTCTCTATCCAAGAGTTTAATTGAATTACAGGGTCAAAAAGAATTTATTTCTTTTGCCTTTCTGCATGTTTTCAATCATGGCAGTTCTAGTAAAATAGAGTATTCTTTACATGCTTCCAGAAAAAGTTCTGGTGGTTACCCAGAGTACAAAATTGCGTTATAGGATTTTTTCTCAAGGCTTCCATTTGAAGAATCTTTAACATAGAACAATGAAAACCCTCACGTCTTATGACTAGTCATATGACTATCGATTGACTAAATCGTAGTTTAGGTCAACATAAGTTGATTACACACAATAGCAGGATCGTTCTGACGGAAAATAAGATGTTTCGATCCTTCTACACGGTGAAATCCATCAATATCTACTCTAAATCTTTTCTCAGGAACTTACTCCATTCTACGTTAAAAAAAATCATCTCATTTTAAAAAGCTTTTAACAAATACTGATGATCAATCAGCATGAACGATAATTATCAAGCAAAAAGCTTTTTGAAAGTTTTTCAAAAATCGTTTTTTGACGGATCTCTAGAAAACTCGTGCATAACGGAAAATTTTGAAATACTAAACTATTGTTTTTTTTACATCAGTAGATAGAAGGAAGTGCTCTTTACAAAACGGAATCTAGGCGACATCTTCATTTACCATGATTCGGTAGCTACAGGCATTTTTACCACAAAGCCCTAGACCTGCTCAATGCGTTGATCTAGAAACCTCAAAAGTTACTAAAATAGAGATTTTTAATCATCGCGAATCTTGTGGTAATGTTTCTTTGTAGAAGAAAATTCAAAACCTAGTAAAAACAGATACTACATGAAATAATTTATTTTTGCCTATTTGCATACTGAGAGCTAAAAAGTTCATAACACAGTCAAAATCGACTCCACAAGATTCGCGATGGTTAAAAATCTCTATTTTAATAAGTTTTGAGGTTTCTAGACCAACGCATTGAGCAGGTCTAGGGCTTTGTGGTAAATGCCTGTAGCTACCGGATCGTGGTAAATGAAGACGTCGCCTAGATTCTGTTTTGTAGAGAGCACTTCCTTCTATCTACTGATGTAAAAATACAATAGTTTAGTATTTCAAAATTTTCCGTTATGCACGAGTTTTCTAGAGATCCGTCAAAAAACGATTTTTGAAAAACTTTTGAAAAGCCTTTTGCTTGCAAAAAGATGCTCCATGAACTGTTCTTTCCATATCTGAAAAACCCACCACTCTAGCTCTTTTCGGTTTTGAGTTATTAAAGAGATTGGTATGGGTTATTCTTTTTTTGGATGGACAGTAGTAAGAATATTAGACATAACTCTGAAAACTATCTTACTAAGATTTCAATAAGATAATTTAAGATCTTGATTAAGATCTGTACAAGATTTTATAGCTCTGATTTCATTCATCTTTTTCTTTTGTTCTCAATCATCTATAAAAGTAACACTGGAAGTATCTCAATTTCATGCTATCAGTTTTCTTTAACACGTTAGTCGTACTTGCACTATCAAAGATATTCAACAATTGTTGAGAGAGTGTACAGTGTAAGTCAGTTAGATACTTGAGCTCTTTGGATACATTTTAAAAGACGTTTTTGTTATAATTACGATCTTTGATGTAAATACTGGATTCTTGTATTGAGCGTTTTATCGTGCCGCGAAAGAGTTCCAGTATCTTATAGCAGACTCTACTCTTCCAGACAGACTATTTTCTGAAGTAAAATCATTTATCAGGCAAGAAATATCCTCAATATAACCAGATAAATAGTGAATCCGTTTGCGCACTATTATAATAACGTTTTTTTTTAAACTTATTCATAACCCTGTTTATTAAGAAAAGATACAACAAACTTGACTCAGCGAGCAGACCAAGGTCTATGGTGCAGAGTATTATAATAAAGTATCTCTGGACCGATAAGTGAGTGATCTTGATCCAAGAATAATCTGTTTTGAAGAGTTAGACATAATACAGATATTTGGCTACGGTTTTGATGAAAAATTGAAACTTGATTCACTCCAATTGTGTTCTTTTTTAGTGTCATTTAAGATCAATCTTACCATGTGTTCTTTGTGCTAATGGAACACATTTACTTAGCTTGACTATTTCAAAACATTTCTTTTTAACCAAATAGAATTAGCTTACAATGAATGATAAACAGTCATAAGATATTACAGAAACAACGGTTTATATATTTTCAGTTCAGAGTTAAGATGCACATTTAAATTTTGTTTCATGAATTCCTTTACTGCAAGAACCAGCATCATGTTTGGGTACAACATAACTTCCACCCACTAATTTTCCACAACCCATTTTCGCATAATTGCTAACTGTATCGATACATGCTTGTTTACAGTTAGCCATCGCCGCATTTGTACAGCCACAAAATTTGCAATTCGATAAATCCCAGCCTTTGAATTTAAAACCAACTGTATCAGAAACAGCCGAACATTTACACCTAAAAAGAATAGTGTAACGCAACTATAGAAAAGATTTATAGACAATGCTTACGTTCGACTTATTCCACCAAACCAACTTTGAACATAAGATGGAACAATACATAGAACCAATAGTAAAGCAAATATTAATTGAAATTTCATCCTTTAGTTTCTCTAGCACCTAAATGCAACAACGTGTTATAAGAATGCAAGCACTAGCAACTATAGAGGAAAAGTTGATGAGACGTACGTGGATACGTAGTATGAGGACATATAAAAGCTTGTTTCGTGCGATCTAACATTTTATAATACAGTACTAAAAAATTTTACCATAACATTTTATAAAATCTTTATTAGTCAAAACAGGTAGCAAGCTAAATTTTTACTTCATACGTGGTCAAAAATTAGCCTGAAAACACTGGTGAATGAGATAAAAAGTTTTTGCTATTACATCTAGTAAACATATATGTAAAAAACGATACATACTCTGACTCTAGTTGCTTCCCGCTATCAGGCAGTAAAAAAATTCTTTTGTTTCCCGAAAAGCAGTGTTAAGTATAAAGAGCGAATAAAAGTCTGAACAAGATGAAAATTTACCAAAATGTTTGTTTACATAGGTCATCTCTACGATATTAGCGAAAAATAGCATCATCTTTCCTGAACCGTACAACAGATTTCCAAAAAACCTGCCGATCTTCAGGATAAGATCTATTATTCTCAGTTCAGGAACACTTTCAAGAAAAAATAAGGTTACATTCGGAATCAGCGTGCCGAACTGCATCGAACGATATACAGTGGGTCGAAAGGTAATTCGCTCACCCCTGTAGTATCGTATTCTTTCGCTTCTCAGTTAGAAACCATACATGCTAGAAACTCGCCGTTTTGACCATGATACAGAGCGCATTATCTTATCTATATGTAAATATGACCAGCATTTAATTTCGTTACGTTTTTTTTGATACGAAAAATACTGAAAATATATCGTTTTTCTTCAGTGAAAAATTATTTGCTCACTGAAAAAAAGTCAGTTTCAAATCAAAATTGACATCAATGGAAGATTTTTATTTGTTTTATGAGTCTGCCTTGAAACGAATACGCTATCGAGTTAAAAGGGTTAGAACAAATTTACAGCTATCGTTTGATTTACTCTAATCTCATCCCTTTCCCCACCGTGCGCATTTTTCTAATAGCAGGCAGATATCAGAATTTTTTGCTTATACACCACTTTTTCATCAATAATTATCATTGATTAGTCATCTCTGATGCTTTTAAAGCAAACAACGTTTCCAGAAAAATCATTTTTTTTCAAAAAAGCGATCTTGCTGATTCATAAGAAAATACTTCAATAGACGGTTTTTCGATCTAAACCTAGTGTGCTATACAGTGGATGGAAACAAATTATTTGCTAACCTTCAAAAAAAATTCATTTTCAAATCAGAATTGATATCAACGAAAGATTTTTATTTGTTTGATGAGTCTGCCTTGAAACGAATACGTCTGAGTGAAAAAACTCGGTTGGATCGTGATAAAAGATTTTTTAGAACAAAAGGTATCGTTTGCCCGGCTCCCTTGGAATGCTAAGGCGATGGAATTTTTTTTCCAAATACTAAGCCATATTTTGACATGAAGTGAGTTGTGCTGATCGAGACACAACGAAATATATACTTTGGATGGTATTTGAGCACATTCGAGCTTGTTAAAGATTGAGACGAAACACCGGCTCCCCTCTTTCCCACGTTTGTTAAAAACTACATTCGAAAGCTATTTTGTATGAAAAATTCTAAGAACTAGTAGTAAGTAAAAACTAATTTCTGTCGAGTTAAAAGGGTTAGAACAAATTCATGGCTAACAAATCACTAACTTGAAACAGGTGCCAAATGAACAAACTGACACCAAGCAAGTGAAATTATTTGTGAAACTAAATCTATCGTTGTAACAACATGTAGACCAGCCATGGGTAGCTTTAAGCAAGAAAAGAGGGTTTTATCTCGACGGCCTGGTGTCAGTTTGTTCATTTGGCACTCGTTCACCTGTGAGCTAGTGAAATTTTTTATCTCATAAGATAATTAATTTTCATGATTGAGTTGCACTGATCATCTGATGCGTAAAAAATAGCTTTTAACGCTCAAATCTTTATACTAGTTTTCCTTCCTGTGCGTTCAATATAAAGTTTTTTAGCAAGCTTTTGCTGCTTATTATCTTTGCTTCTGTGACTTACTTGAGTTGAATGAGGAGAGTATTCTAGATAAAAAGAACAATAATAAAAGTGTCTATTTCTACACTTTATGTGTATTTATATGTTTAGAACTGACATATGCGTGTAGAATTTATAAGCGTGGATAGATGAGAGAATAGGCAGAAACATTAGAAAATACGAGCATATCAAAATAAATAAATGTATTAGAGAGCAAATAACGGGAATTGTATATCTTATCTTGAATGGATAACAACACGTATATTCTTACACATATTTTCACACAGCACATAACTATGCTCTTTGAACTTATTCATCCTCTACACAAAAATTTTCTCAAGTATTGCTTTATTAGCGATAAGATGATAAATCAATCATAGTTGTTGATAGCCAAAAACTAAAGGGAATTTATTTATCAAAAATTGTTTGTACAAACACAAGTTATCTCTGTTATTAGAGAATGATGGATGATGGCAGAACTATTTCATTTAACTAACAGAGGATAATATTCTGAAGGTATTTAATACTTAGACAGTAACCGCATATAAAGGAAAATACAGTTGAAGAAAATTTAATCTAGAAGTCTTCGTTGTATAAAAGTATCTCTACAAGGGTAAGACAAGCGATTTCACATAATAACGGGTAGCTCATAAAGAATTGCGCTGTTAATATTTTCAGATTTTCTCCTCCTCCTTACACTTGATTGAGCAATTTTTTTTAACAAAAACTTCCCCGTTGAATTCTACACAAAAATATACTGACTGTTTGATTGCAAAATCCGAAGGTGCAAAATGCCATGAGAAAATGTGAGAAGTACAAAAATGTGGAAAAAATAACGCAGTTACATTCTTTTTTCGTATCATTGGTGAGAGAAGAAAGCTGAAGTAGCCACGGTGTATGCCTCGAAAAGCTCTATTTTCCGTCTATAATTTAAATAATTCTCAGTTAGAATTGAGGGCGCAAGAATTGCATTATTTTTTTGCCAATTTTTCAAAAATGACGATTATTTTACCAATAATTTGAGCCTTCCAATACAACAAATAAAGCTTAGCCAACTTGATCCATTCAAGTTGATTTTTTTAATTTTGAAAACAAATGATTAGTCGTTATGATCGGATCTCTATGATTTGAAAAACAAATTTGGTTTGTTCCACCGCGCAAAAAAGATGTAACAACTTTTGTTATTTTCATTTGATTGCTGAGAAGTTAATCGTTGAGTCGGATATTTAGATTTAAACGATTTTCGCTGTACACGACGAGAAAGAGTGTATTTGAAACTGCACAATAATAGACTGAAAACGTGTTTTAATGCTTGTGAAACCATTCAAAAAGCTTTCGCTCTTTTTGAGAAAATACGTTTATTTTTCCTACATTTTTGTACTTCTCACATTTTCTCATGGCATTTTGCACCTTCAGATTTTGCAATAAACAGTCAATACATTTTTTTGTAGAGAATTCAACGGGGAATCTTTTGATAAAAAACTAGCTCAATCAAGTGTAAGGAGGAGGAGAAAATTTGAAAATACTAACAGCGCAATTCTTTATGGGCCGCCCGTTAATGCTCGTAGATAAAATATATAAATAGAATTTGAATCTGAGAGTCAAAACTAGAGAACTGCACGGAAATTACCGTGACCACGGGCACGAACAGGCTCAAAAAAGACACAGACGAACAACTGCTGTATTCAACGAGTACGGATTTTTCAAAAAAATGCCACTACGTCTGTAGCACATCAGAGAGAAAAAAATGTTTTTTTCTACACGGGCATGGACAAGCACGGACAACGAAAAAATTCCATGAACAGGCACGTACAAACACCCTCGATAGAGCTACGGACAAAATTTTTTGTTTTTAAAAACTTTTGCACGTACTAGTCAAAATGGCACAAGTTACAGATTCTGTATAAGAACGAAAATACAATTATAATATATTATGAGAAAATAATGGAATTTGATTAAAGTACAGGTTGATCACCTGTGAACGTCAACTAAATTTTGACCTAATACAGTTACTAGCAATGGGAACTGTTCTCCATATGGAGGAAAATGATTGATGCAAGTGCTTGCTTCAATAATTGTCTTACTAATGATCAATAAGAATAGAATCGCTAAAAACTTTGTTCATTTTGGAAGTCTTTAAAACCGCTTACTCAAATGTTATAATAAAAAAGCTTGAGAATAAAATGTTAAAGTCATTTTATCTGAACAATGAGAAAAATCTTTCGTACTAGTCTAACGGACAAAAGTTGTCAATCAACGATCACTAGAAATTTCAATTTGGCTTTGCAATACAAACGTTAAAAAGTAAAAATTCAAATCTGGCTATTTTATTTCGATTTTTCGATAAAGTTCGTTTTGGTGCTTCTTCTGATCTCTTTTCAATTAAGATTTTATTTAATAACCTCTAGCTGATCGATTCGTTCTGATTTTTGAATGATTGATCAATGAATTTTACCATTGTTGCACTTGACGCTGTCGTTTATGTTTTTGCTGACAATCCCACTGAGATAACAGGTATCGATAAGAAAGCGAGAACAATGGTGACAATGTTTTCGGCTGTTAGACTTTGCTTTGCGCATATCACTAATTGATTCTATCTTGTTGGCTTTAGTTAACTGTGATCAAGTGCGTTTATCTATTTGTTTAGTGTATCAAACGAAATTATATTCGTTAGATCTGAAAATTTTTTCGAAAATGTATGAAAAGATAATGGAGTTTGAACTGAATGGAGAAAGGAGCGTGAATTATTAAATTTTTACGCTGTTTGGAGAACGTTAGTGAAATAGAACGGTTTTGAAAGTTATTTTTTCACTGTATTTGTATAGTTCTAAAGTAGAATTTTTCATACGTACGCTTCTTCATATTTACACATCGATGCGTAAACAGTAAAAGAACCATATTCTGAGACTAAGTTTCCGCAAAATGTTGTTATAACTAAAGAATTAGAAACATTAGCACTAAGATGATCTCAAGGTGTTATAAAATATGAAGCTCCAATTCTATGAAATATTTTTCTACGTGGTAGATCAAAAAAGCCTAGTATTGCTCTACTTTTTTGAAATATCTATATATTTTCACTTTTTTGTACAATATTTTTTTTCGTATAATGCAAGATATATATAGATCATAATTCACTCTTCGAGCATATGACCGATCTCTTTTCAGGCTTTTGAACTCGAAATTCTGAACCATTCGCTTTTCAGTACTAACTCCGTTCTCTTTTCGGCTTTTTCGTTTTATAATTCTGACTGTTCTCTAATCACTCCAAATTTGACCATAAATAGGCAACTGTTCTCTTTCTAGTCCTAATTCCATTCTCTAAAAAATCTTTGTCCAAACTTTTTCCGCATAGACAACTCCAAAAGGCTCGACAAACTGATCGTACCAAAAGCCTGAATGAAAGGAGGCAATATCTAATTTTACCATTATCAAAATAAAATAAAAAATAAAATAAGCCCAATAAACAATTAAAAACAATAAAAAAGAAAATACACTCTGAACAAAAGAATACATAATTAAACTATAATTCTTCCTCTCAGATGCGTACTCATGCTGAAAAATGCGAGGAATATACATAAGTACTCACACATTTTTTTACTCATTGAGTATTCACGTGAGTACGCATGAGTGAGTAATAGGCATTGTGGGTACGACTTTGAGTACTCATGCCTGAGTGTTATTGAATACACATATAACTTTTGACACAATACTCCTAAGTATTTGTTCATCTGGTATTTCCATATAGAGGAGTGATATCCGACAGTCAGAGTTGAACTACAAGCCTAGTCATAGACGACTCCATCTGTGACTATTTTAACAGAGACTAGCGAGAAAAAAATAATATAAATATTCTGTTTCTTTACTAAATTCTACGTTCTTTATACAGTGTCATCTTAGGAAAATCAAATGGTGAATGGATATTTTCTGATTTCTCACATGTGTAACTGAGTACTCACTGAGTAACAATATTCAGAAATTGTTGGTAGAACTCATTTGAGTACTCATGGACGTATTACGAGTAAAGTCGTACTCATACTATAAGTATTTTCATTAGGATAATCAGTGCTGTAATCTAGCGACAAACTTAACGAATATACAAAGAAATTGATGTTTTGTACAATTGACGCTATCCTAGACGTAAATTTTTCCTCATAGATCAGTGTGTATTTCAACAATTCGTGCTAGCTCGTGCATCTGAGTCAATTATAGTTTATCCAATCATCGATTCTCATTCTAATGAATCATAAACTTTAGTAGTAATTTTTTTACATTGCAAATTGCCGTAAGAGGACATAGAGGACGTTTCCGACACTTTCCATTAGGCTCAGTTGAGAATAAATATAAAAAAAACACAAAACATCATTAGAAAAGATAAACGCAACGGCGTTCTTGGCACAAAAAAACAATCACAAAAGAAATAATCAATGTTTGAAATATTAGATTTTTTTAACTGTTGTTGAATGTGTTTTTCTGTTGAAAACGAACATGTTTTGCTCTAGCAGAAAAAGCTATCTTTATCTTAAGTTTATTTTAAATTTAAAGTTTATTCAGTCTTGCAGATTTTTTCTTTTTGCATATACACAAAATCGTAGGAAAAAGTCACAGCTCTTGTATAATAAGAAAAATATACCTATTTTATATGACTGTTCAGAAATTAAATGATTACTCTAAAATAAAAAGGAAGATAGTCAAACAAAAAAAACAAGATCTTGTATGCATGTACAACTATGTTTCTTATTTACTTCTGCGCTCATTGTCAACTGTTCATCTCTAAGAAGATTTCATACTAAATTTTACACAGACCAAAGAAAAATGTAAACACTATCCACCTTCTGGATCTTTGTTTGTTTTTCTCAATCTGGATGTTGTTGATTGAAACTAACGCTAAATGATCCTAATATCAATCACATCCCACACTGTTGATGTGTATGAGTAAATGTGATTATTCTGTGAAAAGACTCTTAAACTTAATAAACTTGAATGTGATGTCAATCTAATTTTTCTCAAATCGTTGCTTTGTAAACTTAGAGCACAAGTAATGTTCCCACAACAGTTCGTTAGAATTTGAAAAGTACTAAAGTTTTCCAAAAAGCGTATCTATATTTTATGAAAAATATATTACATGGATGAAGCATTTTCTTTAATAAGGTTCATAACACCTATGGCTTCCCATCTGTTTATCTAGCTGCCATTCGAATATTTAAAGTTCATTGTTGTGCACAGTATGAAATGTTCTTCATCACTGTATTTATATTTTTTTGACAAGCACGATTAGAACATTTATGTAAAAACCATCTACTGTTACGTGTCAAACGGCTAAATTGACTATGTACATCATGATGATTAATAATATTGTTTTTTTGTGTGTTCCATATACCTCAAAGAAAAAAACTTTTTATTTTCTCTTTTAGAAATGAGTTTTCAGTCTAAAGGAGACCATGACACCGATGACGATGTTCCCATAATCAATATTACTGATGATAATGTGATAACAACAAGTAATGGAAATATGCCGGTAGAGAATGGTACGTTATCGACGAGCACGACCGTGTTAGTTCCCTCAATAACTAAATATCGTTTAACAAATATTATTCGATTCTTAATTTTCATTGAATTTATAACCATATTCATTCTATGGCTAGTTGGTAAGTAGAGAAAATGTGCATGTTTATGTTTAGATGAACTTTATTTCTAATAACAAGTAGGATTACACAACATATTAGTCTAGTCTTCTTTTCTTTGAAAAAAAGCTGCAATTGTGATTCTAACTGTATTAGATAGTTTTTCTTTCTCAATCATATTGTTTATTTTAGGTGGTCGATCTCATTCACTCGTGGATGATATCACACATTATCGGTTTTCATCATCAATCTTCGATTTAGTTTCTGTCTCCACATTTAAATTTGTTTTATTTATTATTCTTTACACCGAATTGGAGACACGTGTCATCTTTCAACTCTATTATCAATCCTATTCATCCCTTCTTCGTTATTTATTAATTCTTTTGACACTCACTTCTCATCTGATCTCATTAGCTTATTCTATTGTTAAACTCTTATTTGTTCTAAAAAATACATCATCCTTGCAGCCGATCTACTTGTCTATTGTTTATATATTTCTCGTATTTTCGTCATTAGAATTAATTGGCTTTATTATCCTTCAACCATATTTAAATCGACTAAAATTAATCGAAGAAAAACGAGATCTATCAGTGAAAAAAAAAGCCGATCTTAAACGCTTATTATCATTGTCGAAAAATGAAAGATCCCTTATAGCCATTGGTAAGTGTCGATTTTTAAACGCTAAATATTAGCGAAAGAAAAGAAAAAAAGACCTTAAAAGTGTACAAGTGAAATCGTTTGTTTGATTGAAATAGAGCGGGTATATGCAAAAATAACTAGAGTAGGTCTAACTGCTTAATAAAAAAATTTTGTTATTCAAGGAAGAAACTACATTACTCAAACTATAACTAATGTTTTTAAATGAAGACTTTTAATCTCTAGTGCAAATAAAGAAATTATGCTGCCGTTTAGGTACATTTTTTTTAATATTATCAGCGGCGACTCAAATCGTTCAACCATATTATTTCGGTAAAATCGTCGATAATGCATTGAAATCTCGGACAATGAAAGAAGTGAACACTAACTTGTTGATTCTATTCATTATCAATTGTGTTGGCGCTCTAACATCGTTTATTCGTTCATGGACATTTGAATTAGCCGGACAAAGAATGGTCTATCGTTTGAGGAAATCAATATTTTCAAATCTTACCAAACAAGAAATTGCATTTTTCGATGAAACGCGAACAGGTACGTGATCAAATAGTAGAAATGCGCTATTATTAAGAAATTTGTTAGAAACAGTATTCAGAAAATATAATCTTTTTATATATCTAGTGGAATGAGGCTAATCTATATCCATCTGCCATAGGCGTAACTACGGGAGAGGCCATTGGGCCATGGCCCAGTGCGATCTGAGCATTGGCCCAATACAAAATTTTTTCGAGTGTTCGGCCCAAAGCTTTTCCTTTATCTACCAATCCTGAATAATATTTGTGACATGAAGCGAAATAAGGTGCTGCCAATTTAGAAAGATAGCATCATTTTTGTTTTCCTTTTTTTTGACATGATTAAATAGAGCTCATCGACTTACCTGGGCATAACGATAATTTAAGATTTTTTAAAGCCATTTTGGATGAAAAAATTGAAAAATACTGATCTTTTGAGCTGCTGGAGAAAACAGTGAAGTTTTCAAAGAAAATCAAAAATTTCATGTTTGATCGCTTCTAGAAATTCTCAAACCATTTTCTTAGTTTCCACCGAAAACTGAGTCTGGAAAGCTAATTTTGGAAATTTTAGAAGCTAAATGGGACTCAGAATCTGCGAAACACGAGTGGAATGGTAAAAGGGCTGCCAGCCAATTTTACGAACCTATCCAATCCTACAACTTTGGAGATAATCCCGAAACACACATTTTTCAACTGAGTTTGTAACACTAATTCCGAAAATGGCTTTTTTTTAGTCGAAAAGTTGAATTTTGATACAGGAAACGGCAACATGCGAGCCCAATTTCATTGGTTTTCCTCTGATTTTGAAAAAATTAAATTTCTTAGCAATAAAACAAAATTTTCCAAAAAGGATACTGAAACTCTTCCTCACAAGTATCGTGATCAGAATGAAGTAAAAGAAAGATTTTTATCTCCAAAATTGTAGGATTGGATAGGTTCGTAAAATTGGCTGGCAGCCCTTTTTGCCATTCTACTCGTGTTTCGCAGATTCTGAGTCCAATTTAGCTTCTAAAATTTCCAAAATTAGCTTTCCAGACTCAGTTTTCGGTGGAAACTAAGAAAAAATGGTTTGGGAATTTCTAAAAGCGATCAAACATCAGATTTTTGATTTTCTTTGAAAACTTCACTGTTTTCTCCAGCAGCAGTTCAGTATTTTTCAATTTTTTCATCCAAAAATGAAGTTAAAAAATCCTAAATTGCCACAATAACGAGCAGCACGAAAAGTGACGGTATCAGAACTGGCAACAGTGGAAAAGATTTCGTACCCAGGCAGAAAACGTTCGACCCACCGAGTTTTTTCAACTCTACGGAACACAACCAAACAGTCTAAAAATCCTGGTTACGCCATTGCCATCTTCTGGGTGTTTAGGTGAATTAACCAATCGTTTGTCATCCGATACTCAAGTGTTACAAAATGCGGTTACCGTTAATATATCAATGTTATTACGATTTTCCCTCCAACTTATTGGAAGTCTGGCGGTAATGTTCTATTTGGAAGTGTCGTTGACACTTGTTCTAATGGCTGTAGTGCCTGTTGTGATATTAATATCTATGCAATATGGAAAATTAGTGAGAAAATTACGAAAAACATTTCAGGATGAATTAGCCAATGCTGGAACGACAGCCGAAGAATGCATTTCAAACATGCGTACGTAAATATCAATTAGATGAATACTATGAGATTAGATAATGAAAATTTGATAAAGATTAGAATTAGGTGTATGAGAATATGCAGATTTTAGTTTGACGCTTAACAGTGAACCAAGACAAAAATAGAGAAGCATCCGACCAAAACTTTGTTATAGTAAATAGAATTTAGAGCAGTATTGTCCACTACATGAATATGAACACGTTTGATTTTATTTGATGAACGAAAATACCTCTCTCTAAATAAGTGAACCTGCATTGTAAAAGTCATTCATTTTTATTTATCAGTACTTTAATATCTTTGTATTGGACTAACTTTCATTACGTTAATCTACAACAGTTATGCGCTGGTACCATCGCTACTCTTTGGCGGTTTTTACTCTTCGTTTATCATCATTTAGGTACTGTTCGCATGTTTGGTAGCGAAAGAAAAATGAATATTAATTACAGTGATAATGTTTATAAATCTTATTTAGTTGGAAAGAAATTAGCATTCAACTCTGGTCTTTTTATGGGTGTTACCGGTCTTCTAACGGCAGCAGGTATCTCAGCTGTCTTGTGGTATGGGGCTAAATTGGTTCATGATGGAAAACTGTCAGCGGGTCTATTAACATCATTTCTCATGTACATGTTACAAGTAGCATTAGCATTTGCTTTCTTGTCATCATTATACGGAGATTTTATGCAAGCAGTGGGTGCAAGTGAGCGAATATTTGACCTACTGGACAAGAAAGGAAAAATACCCACCGAAGACGAACATGGACAAATGGCTAAACCACATGAGTTTGACGGAAGTATTAGAGTTCAAGATGTATGTTTCAAATACCCGACGAGACAAGATCAACAAGTGTTAACAAATATTTCGTTTGAAATCAAACATGGACAAAAGGTTGCACTCGTCGGACCGAGCGGTGGTGGAAAAGTAGGTAGTTGTTTTCAAATTATAGCAGAGAATAGATACATGTAAAACATGGCTGAGGCAGATACAACCGGTGTAAAAATTATTCGTATAATTTTCTTTTCAATCTTCTTTCGTCATCATTTGAGCAGTTTGAAAAACAAAAAATAGCACATCTTGTGAAAAAAAATTTCATCTTTCTAATGAAAAAACCATTTTAAAGTTTTGAAGTCAATAAGTGACTTTTAAACTTTTCAACTGGACAAATTTGAAAAATTAAAATTTCTTACTTAATTTGACATTAAAACTCGACTTAAAATATATCAAAAGAAAGAGCATAAAAGACGACATTTAGCTAATTACAAAAATTTTGTGACAAAAGGAAACTTTTAGTAGATTTTCTTTCATCTGCGAAGAGTGCCTGTTAACAGCAAAACCTTTTTTTGATACGATCTTTTCACTTTAAAAGTTTATAATGTATCTTGAATTAAAGAGCAGAAAAATCTCTACAACATACTTGATAAACTTAGTTTTTTGTCTTTTTAAAAAACAATCGATATTTTTACTCTCCTTTCGCTTATTATGTATTATTTTATAAAGAAAAAAGTCGACTCTTTTTAAAAGAGACAAAAAACAAAAGTTTATTAAGTATTTTGTAGAGATTTTTCTACTCTTTAATTCAAGATATGTTGAAAAACTTTAGAGAGGTATGAAAAAACATTTTTATGACTATGAATTTAAATAACATCGCCATTGACAAAATCCTCTGTTAATTGACATATGTAATCATCTTAAATTCTATATTTTTTGCGTTTTTTCAGAGTACAATTGCCTCGTTAATTGAACGTTTTTATGATCCAACGTCTGGTGTGATATATTTGGGTCCAACATCGATTCCCCTAACTGACGTCGATCCTCTATGGTTACGTGAACATGTTTCGTTCGTCAATCAAGAACCGTGTCTCTTTGCATGTTCAATTAAAGACAACATCTGTTTTGGTAAACAAGGTGAAGTGGCTATGGAGGAAATTATTCGCGTAGCCAAACAAGCGAATGCTCATGACTTCATCGATAGCTTTGATCAGAAATATGACACGTTAGTGGGCGAAAGAGGAGTTAGATTGTCAGGTGGACAGAAACAACGGATATGCATCGCTCGATCATTATTAATAAATCCACAATTATTGTTGTTAGACGAAGCGACAAGCGCTCTGGTAAGTGGAGAAGACGAAGAATAAACATTCATGAAAGAATATATAATTTTTCTGTTTAAGGATGCTGAAAGTGAACATTTGGTTCAAGAAGCGATTGAACGTGCTATGATTGATCGTACTGTGTTGGTTATTGCACATCGTTTATCTACAGTGAGAAATGCGAACAGAGTAATTGTAATTGACAAAGGTTGTATTGTTGAACAGGGTGTACACGAGGAATTAATCGAAAAAGACGAAGGAATCTATAAAAAATTAGTTTTAAGACAACTGATGCCGGGTGATGCACCAACGAAAAAATAAACGTTTCTCACTATTAAATCTTTATATGTGCATTATTTTCATTGTTTTTTTTATATTTGTTAGTCTGTCTCACCGGTTCATCTTTTTATTATCTATTTTTTTAACGTTCCCAATAATTCATTATAGTTAAATTTTTTTTCCGATTTATTGCATTTAGTACATGTATGTGTTCATTATCTTTCTTTATACATAACTTTTAGTTGTACAATGTTATCTTACTCTGATCTACTTGTAATTAACTCTTCTAGTTTTATACTGTTGATATTTAAACAAAATCGTCCACAATAAAAATTTTGTTTTCGTTTTATTTTGTAAAGAAGTATTTTCTAAAATAATGTTTGAAATCACTGTTTAACAAAGTTCAATTTGCATTTAAAACTTGTCTCAATTCATCTAGGACTTTGTACAGAATATAAGAAAAATATATGTTGGTCAGATCTTGAATCTTCTAGTATAGATCAACAATGTTCTGGGAAGATTAAAAAATATTCGTATTAAAATATTCAGATTTTATCGTCATTTGTAGCGATTTTTAGATCTCTCCGTTGATATTGTCGTCACGAATGGCTGGCTTATTCGATGATTGCTCTCCATTTTTATCTCGTTATTATTCAAAATTAAATTTGGACAAATTTTATCTGAAAGAAAAACGGAATACTGTATCATCGATCGTTGCTGGTTGTCTATTTTCCATTGGTTGGTGGATCATTATCGACTGTGCCGTATTGAATCCGTCGAATCAACAATTTCATAAGGCATTTATAGTGATCGGAATTATGGCCTCATTGGCACTTGTTCTGTAAGTATAAAACTACTTTAAGCTTTTTTAGATCGATTTAATGTTATGGATCTTCTCGCCTTTCTTGCTTCTCAATCGTCGTTCGAGAAACGACGATTGTTCCGACGATTGTTCCAATTATATAAGATGTATAAGCGAAAAACCTTACGAAATGGCTATTATCACAGAGAGTGGCAGCTGGTAGAACAGTATGACTAGAGGTGAGAGTATACAAAAAGCAGCACGACAGAGAGAGCGATAAGTCGCAATGGAAAGATCAGTAGAGGAGAATCGAGAGTGAAGGGCGTGTTTTTCTTACGAGGGAACGTTTTTAAGTGCCCCTCGCTTTTTCAACGAAACCTAGTGAGTTATAGGTTATCGATGATAACCTAATATGAATATGAGAGCTGCTCTTAGGGCTTCGAAGACCCGATTTTCTGGAAAACCAGTTTTTTAGAAACTCTGGAAAACCAGTTTTTTAGAAACTCTGAAAAACAACCAAAACTTTTCTTAAAGAGCCATGCTTGTAACGCGCACATTTCTGATTAAAATGAGACCTCTCCCAACTCTACATGACCTTTCTTTGCAAGGTTATAAAATTTACAAGAAATGCCCTAAATTAATTTCTTATTTCTGTAACTTTGAGTTGACAATGAATATTTAGAGCTTTTCTTGTAAATCTATAACTTTTGCAAAGAAAGGTCATGTAGAGTTGGGAGGGGTCTCATTTTAATCAGAAATGTGCGGGCTACAAGTACGGCTCTTTAAGAACAGTTTTGGTTGTTTTTCAGAGTTTCTAAAAAACTGGTTTTCCAGAAAACCGGGTCTTCGAAGCCCTAAGAGCAGCTCTCCTATTCATATTAGGTTATCATCGATAACCTATAACCCACTAGGTTTCGTTGAAAAAGCGAGGGGCACTTAAAAACGTTCCCTCGTTAGCTGAAAGATATTTTTAACTTAAATCTAGTGACTGTTTGGAAACTAGATGGAACATACTTAGGTAATCGACTACGCTGAATCTTGTGACAATATTGCTTCTTAGAAAAAGTTCAAAAACCTAGTGATAGCTGGCTCTATGTGAAATAGTCCATTCTGGATCATGTTTATCCAATATAGAAAAATTCATACCACCGTCGAAATTGATCATGACACCTTCGAAACTTCAGAAGACATTTAATTTAGGCTGCTCTACGTAAGATTTAACTGGAAAAGATTTGGGTTTTCTAGTGAAATTTCTAGAAAACCTAGAACGAAAAAAATTCTTTCTGTTACTTTTCTCATTCTACAATCATGTACATATCACAAACACAACGTATCTGATTGCACAAAACTGAAAATAAATCCTCCAACCGATACATCTATGATTTATCATAGTAGATATAAGTATAATATCTAAACATATTCACAAATCTATCGGAATATATAATATAATATAAAATCTTACATTCATATAATCTTCTGAGTAATTAAAGAAAAAGATTATTTTAGAGATTAGATATCGTTGTGAAGGCCAGACTGTACCTGAGCATTTTACTGTATTTTTCTCGTTTAATAATCGTTATTTGGTTTTAGGGTAAATTCAATTTCTGATGCTCGATTTAGAGGCGATTTGTATGGTCAGGGATGTTGTGGTTCAATCAGTAAGAAAGACAGATCTATGAAACTAGGTATTACAGACTGTTTTCTGCTATTTGTAGGTTTAAGTCGTATCGTGTTATTTTTGGCATTTTTATTTGCATTTGGATCACTGATCAGTGGAGCGTGGGTTATGATTGTGCAATATATTATTCCAGGTATATTCTATCGACCACTTCTAATAAAGTTGTCCACTTTTATCGTTCATTTCGTTCAGATAAGAAACCAATGTATCCTGGCATTGCAATATTTCTTCAAAATTTATTGATATTTACAAGGTTAGTGCATGTGACATCTCATGCTTTCTATTATTTTATTTTTATTTATTTCAAAGCACATTGGTATTCAAATTTGGACGCGTTGAAGACACTTTGCAATTTTAAAATCGTTTTATTTATCATTTTGAAAATCTCATCACGACGACGATACGTTTTTTTATCTTTCTTTGTAAATGTGTTTGCTTCTTGTAGCGTTAATTTATGTCGCTTATCTCTTTTTGAGTGTGTGCGTGTAATTTTCACTTTTCAAGTATTTTGTATTATTAATAGAATAAAGAATATTAGTAAAAAAACGTTTACACTGAACATTTTGATGAAGTTTAAATAACTGAGATAAGCATTAAAAAGTACAGATTCTTGAAAGAAACTATTTTTTGAATTTTATCTGACCTGCTGAAGATGTTCAAGCTTTCCTTTATCAAAAAAAAAAATTTTCACCTTTTCAAAATGATATTGGTTTTCAAATTAGAGAACGGAACGCTTGATACAGTGTCGATTAATGATGACGGAGGCTGACACAAAGATTTTTACGATTCCAATAAAACAGCTCGAAGGTACGCTTTAAACGTGTATTTATCTCTTATATAACGAAATTTTGATCGTCGTTTATAATGAACGCAAACGTTCAGCAACAATTTAAAGAGGACACTTCGACCAAAGAATATCTGCTAAATCAGTTTTGCTGATTACAAGCGTATGATATACAATAGGAAAAAAGATGAAGTCTTAGTAACCAGTCTAGAATAAAATCCATTTGCTGGAGATTCTTTTCATGCCATAGATTCATCATAAAACGTTTTGGGACCGTCTGTTGATGATCTTCTATTTTATATGATCAAAAACACAACTATAAGATTCACTACTAGAAAATGTTTCGAACTCTCGTTCTCTCTCAAAATGAAGGGATGAAAAAAAGAAAATTCATATTTTTATAGAATAGAATGTGCTGTACAAAATAGGTATCTTGGATTTTGAAAAATCTCAAATTCAACTTTGATCATGCAGGTTGACCGATCGATAAAATTTATCACTGATCTGACATCTACTTTTATTCCTATTGAGAATCTACGTACAGTTTAGTCAAAAAAATAAAAACTTTTTATGTAATACTAAAAAAAATTGAAGTAACTTGGAAATCAACTAACTTAAATAAGAAAGTGTAGAAAAAGAATATATCCATAGTCATCCGACGGTATATTCGAATGTTTACCGTGTTTATTTTATTCATTTTACAGCGAATAATAGCATAGGTTCCATAATTTGTTTCTTTCCTGTCTAGTATAACAGGAAAATGGAATTAATTAATTTTCTTTTTCAATTGTATACATTCAATATTGATTTGATTATGTTAAAAAATACATAGAAACAATCAATTTGAAAATGGAATACATAACAAATCGTTAATGTGAATGTTGTGGCGTCAAAAATGTTTAACAATTTTATTTGTTAATTCGATTTATACAAAAAAACTACATTGACGGAAAATATTATTTTAAAAACAAGAATGATCGATATGCTAAAGAAGAAAGGAATCTGAATAGCACACTACTCTTATTTAAACAAAGACACGCATAGATGTATTCTCAACACACACACACACAAATTCATTCTAGATTGAAACATGCCCAAAATCCCTGAATATAGCAAAAACAAAGAAAAATTTAGTTTCTTATGACAAACAAAAAGTAAAATCACTGTATGAAAATTTGTTTTGAATAACTAATCACAAAATACTTTCACACGAAAACAAAAACAAAACCCAATCAGATCTAATAAGCTGTGTAGGAAGATATAAGGGTCAGTAGTCTGTAATCGTTTACGTCTTGTTCTAATCATTGTATCTGACAAACGACTAATTTTGACTTAAGAAAATACGCAGACAGAAATATATACACACTGTTAAAATCTCTCAGGTTATTTAACATTTATCTTCTTCGTCTTTTTTTTTGTTTCTCTAATCTCACCACGCACATCTGACATATACATGAAAAATCTGAGTAGAGAGAGTAGTCACATTTAGCATCGACGGAAAGACAAATCACATGGCTCACACACAGCACCCATCCTTCTCGTCGATCAAAAGTGAAAAACGACTAGTAGTAGATATAAATGTAGAACTCGATATGCAAACGGAGTAAAAGAGAGAGAAAAAGGAAAAGAAAGAATATCTGAGACAAGTCAAAATAAAAATGAACGTTGCTTTTGGTCATAAGAGAAAAAAAAGAAAGGAAATGCATAACGGCGATCTCGACTAGAGCTATTCGTTGAATATAAATAAATCCATGACGTGATCATCGACGTCGTCATCTGCTTCGTCGAATGTTGTCACCGATTCGTTTGATTCCAGAGAGGACGAAGATGAAAGTGGAATGGGTGATGGTGGGGTCGATGATGAATTTATTATCACATTGGGACATTCACGAATTGAAAATAACATCACAAGGATATCATCTGGCTTTATATGAGCTAAAACAGAGATAAAAAGTAATAAACACTGTAGTTGTAAACTATATGAGTTAATTTATTAAAGAATCATCATTTTTACTTAAATTTAACGCTCCAGAAATGAGCGGAATGAGTATTTTTGGAATCCTGTCCTATAAAAGGATCCCTCTGAGATTCCTAGTCTATAGTTATCGATAAACTCAAAATGCAGAGAATTTATCGAAACATGCACATAAAAGTTATTTATTTACTTGTCTTAATAAACAAATACTTACGTACCATTTGTTGAAAAATTATAATCTCTGAGATTCAATTTAAAATTAGATCGATCTCTTATCGGTTATACTTCTTAGCAGAAAAAAGTAAGCAATATTTGAGAGAAGCAGCCATAATTGAACAAATTAGCAGAAATACACAGTGAAACAGTTGAATCGAAAACATATTCCACATTCTCTTTCTCTCCATTAATCTTATTCTGATACACTAAGAGCTGGTTATGGAAATACAAATTAGTAGAGTTTTTCTTCTAGATGTGTTAAGATTACATTGATTTCAGCACGCATCGAGATAAATGAAGAATAATAGAAATATTTTTGTTCTACTGAATACGTACGATTAATTTTGATCTCATTTTGTCTTTTGTTCACTATCATACGTTATGAAAATATTTTCAAAATTATTTTTTGTTCTAATAGATCTTCAACTGGTGATTTGATAATGGAGTACGAAAATAGCTCAATAAGATCGTCATCAAATAGCCTGAACCCATTGCAAAATAAAATGTTCTCGAGAATGTGTACATTTTTACTCCATAAAAAAGAAAATCTATAGAAATCCCTTTATATTAATCCTGTCTGTATCAGTGGAACAAATAGCCAGATAATCCACTGAAAAGTTTATTTATCTGAAAGTACTGCATCAATTGATTTACTTTTTCTCGCTGATAAACTCGAAAAAAATTTAGATTTCAGTCTATTTATTAAAAAATGATTGACTAACATACCATTCTTTGCATTCTGTACAAGTAGTTGACACGTATGATTCAGCATATCCTGATTAACATCGTCTAAACACTAGAACATAAAAAGAACGAAAAATTTAAAAAAAGGTTTATAAGAAATAAAATTTTATGCACGATTCTCACCAAATGTTTATTAATTATTTGTAAAATAAAATCTTCGTATAAATTATCGAAGAGTCCATCTGTCGCCAATAAAATCAAATCATTTGGCTCTAATGTGAATGAGCCAACAACACTCAAATTCGGTCTACAAATAAATAAACAAAGAAATAATATGGGTATATCTTTCGTTGTAATTATGCGTAAAAATGACATAATAATTCATATCAAATCGACGGTCAATATTACTTTGGTTTAAGCTATTTTTATTTAGAAGTGAAAATATCTAACAACTCTTCACCTAATGCGTGCGTCAAAGCATTACATAGTTATAGAGTAGTTTAATATGATGTTTCCCTGACCGTACATTAAATACATAACAAGAAGAAAAAACATCTGTTCAAAATAATTTAATTGTAGTTTTTAACGAATTTTCATTCTTTTCTGTTCTACCTTTGTTCTTAACCGAAAACTTCTACATTACTTTGAACAATAAAACAATGTTTGTGGTCGATTTGGTACGAATTATTTTGTTATAAATAGTATGATTTAATTACATCATATCTCATTTTAGACATAAGAGTAACATAGATGATAGAGTTAATATCCTTCTAATTACCAGGACACAATACTCACTTATCGTTGTACAATCGTTTCTCGTTCATGTTAAAATTGGGCGGTGTTGTACACAGTTGATAAGGTGAACGTGATTTATGATATTGTGGTTGAGATTTATATACTATCGTTGATTCTCGAATAACTACGAAGCCACTATCACCCAAATTCATCGTATCGAGTTTAAACGCTTTTTTATTTAATGAAAGAAGACACAACGTTGAACTACCATAAATTGATTTGGATTCGACACGTTTTAATGCACGATACGTCAAACCTTTCAAATTCGAAGCCATTCGTTGTCCTTCATACTCTACGAGTAACTGACATTCACGTAATAACGCTTGGGAGAATAAAAATGGATTTAAACCACAAGAACGATTACCACTGACACCATCAGCGATACCTATAGGAAAAACCAGAGTTATTTATGATAAGAAAAGGAAAAATTTTTCATGTATGTGTTTGAATTTTCTCAAATGCTTCTGCATCCGACATACAGGATATTGCCTAATTCATCTTGAGAATGAAATAATAGCAATTAGTCTAACACAAGAGCATACAGAGAAATAATTTGCACTTTGTGAATGGGCGATATCGTCTGGGAAGAATCTGAGTGATTAGCGATAATATCTTACCAATGACAAATGCGTCATTTGTTTCTTGAATAAATCCAACATCATCTCCATAATGTCCCGATAGCAGATCGCTATTCAATGTTGCCACACAGCTGTGCTTTGATGAACCACAATAACTGTAACACATGCTCAGTTCACAAATACCACTCTAAACAAACAGGAAAAAATACACAATGAAACAGTTGAATCGAAAACATATTCCACATTCTCTTTCTCTCCATTAATCTTATTCTGATACACTAAGAGCTGGTTATGGAAATACAAATTAATAGAGTTTTTCTTCTAGATGTGTTAAGATTACATTGATTTCAGCACGCATCGAGATAAATGAAGAATAGTAGAAATATTTTTGTTCTACTGAATACGTACGATTAATTTTGATCTCATTTTGTCTTTTGTTCACTATCATACGTTATGCATTCTAAATATGAAAATAAAACATTTTTTAGGCGTCACTAGTCACTTGCACCTCATCTTCACTCACCTTCCTTCCTCCAACTAATAATAATAATAATAAATGAAAAATGACAACATAAATGAAGATGAGATCTAAAATATAAGATAAACAACATACGATGGTAGAGGAGAAATTCAGTAACATTTACACATATGTACATCAGAGTTGCAATTATAAAACAAACGACATTTCTACACAGTGTTTTTTTTTATGACTTTAAGCCCACGTTCTCCTTGCTAAAAGCAGAGTGAAAATTCGTTTTGGTCTCATTTGGTAAGCTGTTATTAAAAACGCTGTTTCTATACCTCAGATGACCCCAGATGTGAGACGAGACAAACAATAGTGAGGTGAGATATACAATTTTATCAAACTGTTTTTACAAAATCATTAGTTAATGCAGACATCTCATTCTCTTGTTCCCTCATCTTAGCAAAGTTTTATGTTGAATCTGACAGAATACTGGATATAACATACTAAAAGATACATAACAAAGGCAAAAAGAGATTCGACTAGAACAGAAACAACTCCCATAAGATAGTATCTATTTTCTTCTATTTGTTTATGGATGCATGCATTTGTGAGAAAGCGAGAGAAAAAAGAAGATTATTCGATTGGATATGAACTACCATTTTTCTCTATCTGAAAACTCGATATGATTTGAAGTAAAACGGCTGGATATAGCTGCCTCAACTTCTTCTAAACTTAATTGTAAATCAAATTTTAGAGCATCAAAACAATAGAAACATCTCATAGTGCCTTTTGTTCCATACACAGATGGTAAAGGTTGAATATAAGTTTTGATTTGTTGCCAGGAGAAGCCAGTAAAAACACACAGATTATCGGATGCGTCGTTAGAAACAAATATAGGGTAGCCGTCAAAGATAGCCGTCAGAAGTCGTTCATCATACATACAATATGTTTGAATATGTGTATGATGAAGTACGTTTATATTGTTGAGTGTTACTGGATTTTCGAAGTGTCCATTGAGTGGACGCACTTTCTCGTTAAAAACGTTTGAGGTCGATTTGTCATACCTCATGAAAGCAGTTTTAGATACATCTTACGAGTTTGCTGGTGAAGCATCATTCAATTCAAATTTTTACGAAGATTTTGACAATAGGGTCTTTTTCGTCGATTTTTTTCCACGATTATGTGCATATAAGATGTATTTACCCTATACACCTAAGTTGGACAATGTATTATTTCTTTCAGCCTTTACAAGGATTTATAGTTCATACTGATTCTATCTTACAAGAAGAAATATCGTTTTTTATTTCAGTATGGTGACTCGTTATTTTTTATCATTATTGTGTGGTTGTAAACAGTATTCTGTTCTACAACGCTTTTTGTCTTCCTCTCACGCTTCTTCTACCGTTGATCAACTCTCACATGAATGGGACGTCGGTGCTTCCGAGTATGATCAAGTCTTCACTCAAGCTTTTCAAGTTTATGCTCAACAAGCATTGGATCTAACAGTAACCGATTCTACTACGAAAAATATTCGTCTATTAGATGTTGGATGTGGCGGTGGTGCATTGTCCCTTCTAGCAGCTACCAAAGGTTACGACGTCACTGCTGTTGATTACTCACCGAGAATGATCGAATTATTAAAATCAAAAACGAATAGAGTGCATGCTCATGTCATGAATGGGGAAAATATGAGAGAATTTCAAGATAATACATTTGATTATGTTTACTCTTTATTCAGTCTAATGTTTTATCCAAACCCGTTGCGTGGTGTCGAAGAGATTTATCGAGTGTGTAAACGAAAATGTTGTATCGTTACATGGTCATCGATGTCTAATATCGAATGGGTTAAACGAAATAATCGTGCTCTACTCAAAGTAAAACCGAACCTTCCTCGATCCAAGCACACACGACAAGTTGAATCATTATCGAATGTCAACGAATTCCGAAACTTGTTAATAGAAGCAAATGTAAAAGCTGAAAACATTCAAATTCACAAGGTGGCAAAGTCGATTGATATCGGAAATGATCCTTATGCATTTTGGAAAAATATGACTCGATCATTTCCCGCTATTCGAGAAACACTTCATCAACACTACACGAAGGATGAACAAAATCAAGTGGAACAAGAATTTGTTAAACAATTAGAAAATGATTTTGGAACAAACAAAAATATCAAACTGACTGGTGAAGCATTATTCGTTATTGCAGAGAAGTAAATCCATTGTCTCTCCATCATTTTGTAGGAACTTTACTTGAAAATATGTGATGTGAAACAACAGTCGTTTTGACAAGAATTTTTATTATCTCTAGTCACTAATTTGTTGTGAGCAATGAAAACATGATCTTTCACGCTTTTTTTTTTATCTCTTAAACGTATTTGTGCTTGATATCGAAAAAAGCAATATTCGACTTCTATTTAACAAAGAGAGAAATTTTTAAGTACACACCAATCTTGTAACAATATATTCGTAGTTTTAAATGTTTAATAGCTGAGATTTTATTTTTTGATTATTTTATATGATGTTTTTGTTTTGAAGGAGTATGAACAATGATCTATGATAGATTGAAAAATGCACTGTGTGTCTAGATCATGTTTTTCTTGAACTGAAAGGAGGAAAACGTATAATAAGAGGTAACATTTTATTTTACTTGTTCTGTCAGTGTGTATTGAATTATTTTCTCTGCATAGGGGGTTATTTTCAATATAGATTGACGCTAGTGGTGGTCAATTACTATTCTCTATGTTTTATTTTAGATTAACTTTTCTTCTCAGAGATTAATTTGAATTTTTTAAAAATGTTTTAAATTTTTCTACTTGAAAATGACTGTACTAATATCGGCGAATATCGATTATGATCAACTAAACAAACAAAAGGTAAGCAAAAAAAATTATTCGATAGTCGTTAGTATATATTGAATAAGTAAGAAAATGATTAGAATTAAATTCTAAAGTCCAAATTGTTGTGCAATCATCATTCGTTGGCGTGCTGATCCTCTTCTCTCTGCGAATGGCATTGACGATAATAGCGGTTGAACAATTTTTGGTCCATGAAATGTTTTGTACAAAACTAAATTTTTCTTTGTTCTTGGTGAATTCAATCCACCGAATTCACTCGTCTGAGTGGGAGTCGACGGTATTTGGGAATAACCAAAACTTTGACGTTTTGAATGGGTTCTCAGATCCTGAGTATTTCTTGGTGAAAGTGAACTGTTAAATGGATCCGACGATGAGTTTGTGATATGAACTGAATGTGTACCAGACAGGCTATCTTCTCTGGTACTTTTGTCTTCACGTCCACAAATTAAAACAACTGCAACGAAAATGAGGAGACATATGGCGATGCCCATCGTTACTCCTATAGCCCATAACGTATACGGCAATAAATTTTGATTTCCTGCATTTTTGTTAAATTCCAATGACCTAAGATTGGAACTCAAACTGCTGGTTTTTTTATCAGGCATGTCGGTTTTGACAACATTCAAAAATTCATTAATCAAATCTTGAATATCTGTTGTCGATGTTGAATTATGCGCATTGTAGTAACACGTCACTTGAGGATTATAGTTTTCGTTACATTTTATCTTTGAGTTCAATGTATAAATGTAGCTACATAACAATGGTGTCTTATTTGTATCATAAAAATAAATGTAACTTAATCGTTTATTACCATGAACAGTTGTATAATCATCAATTTCTCGAATGGTATAATTATAACCTGTACATAGAGAAATAGACATCGACCACTCATATGCTTAAACTGTCTAACTGAGACGAATGGACATATGATGTCTCTCAATATATTCTTGATAGTAAATCTTTACAATTAAAGACTATGTAAAATCTTGTAATTACTCATTTTATACACAAATGTTTGGTAACTACAAATATGAGACTTTTCGAATTTTTCATCTTTAAAGATTGGTTTGTTTTTAAGCGGTTCAGTTTTCTCATGTATATTCACCTACTGAAAGTATGAGTGATTGTATTGCTACCTTCAATCTGTCTCTGGATATAATCTCCTTTGAATTCAAATGTTTGATATTTCTGTTGTGTTTGATTTACCAAAAATTTTGCCAATTTTACTTTAGTTGGTATATTGCCTGAATATTTACGAGCGAGAACGGAATCAATAAATTTAAATTTAAATATTTCTTGTGATTGAACACATCTGATAGATAATTTAGTCAGATTGTAGAAGATAGCATTTTTCTTTGTACATTTAATTTTTTTTGTATCAAAATAGTCCAATTTTATCAAGGTACTATTTGCAGTACAATCAACGATTGTTTTTGCATTCATCAAGCCAAATTCAATTTGTGTTTTAACAAATCCTATGAGACAGTAGAAACTAAAGATCGATTCGAAAATAAAACCTGTCATTTTTTTTTCTTCTAATACTTAATATTTAAATGAAAATGAAAAAGAGATATTTCGGTTTCGATTTGAAACTATATTTAACAGCAAAAAACGGCATGAAGTGATGACTTGTTTCTATGGGAAGTTAAAATTGAAATCATTAAAATCGAAATCTTAATGACTGCGTTTGAAGGGAAAGTGATTTTCTTTAATGGATTCAGAAACTGCAATGATATCAAATTATATTCAAAAGTATTTTAATCGATAAAAATTGAAGATTCAACAAAACCTTTCCTTGAAAAGAAAATTTTTTTGTTTTGATGATAAACGACAGAGAATTCTACATAAATTGTAGACGAATGTTTTTCTTTTAGATCACTTGTTCAAACAGAATATCAGAAACTTTTAAAAATAATTCTCTTTTTGCCTTGTTCAGCCAGGACCGCAAATAACGGGAGGGTGCACACTCCCCGAATAACTGAAAAAGCTATTGTCATTTTATCCATTATTTCTCGCATAAAATATTTTTTATCAATTTCACACTACCTCAAAGAGAAATTTTGTTTTACACTCTCCTAATGTTCTGCTCCTATTTGCGGTCCTGCATTCAGCGTTCAGGTCAATTAAGGTTTAATCAAAGATACAAATTCTTTAGTGTGTCTAATGATGTAATTGTTTTCATACACTTATTGGTTTCTGCTTTTCAATAATTAAAACAACAAGAATGTTTGGTTTAAGAAAAACATATGACTCAAGTCTACACAAAATTCTCTGTCTTTTAGCTTCGAACGAAATTTTGCTAAACTTGGAAAGAATCCTTGCTAAAGTCAACAATTTCATCTGCGCCGTTCCTCATAGTGTACATAGCGTAAGGGTAGAAACATGAACATATGATCATCTTTTTTGTTTTCAATGAACGAGATTTTAAGAGTGAAAAAGAAAATCAAAAGGTTAAAATCGTAATAGAACAGTTTCTCTAAAACTATGGATAAATGAGTAAGCTGAAATATTTTGTATAATTTATATTTTGTTGAAACTATCATCATCTAAATTTGAAGTTATCTGATGGAACGATGCGTGAGTTTCAGAAGTTCTTATGCTTTGAACCTCTACGATCAATCTTAGAAACGTGCTCTTTTTCACATGTACGATGGCTAGAGATATTCGACTATGTAGTAATGGAGATTTATTAAGAAACACATTATTGTTCACCATAAGAGTTCTGTATAGTCTTCGAAGGTACCTTTGAAGCGATATCGGAACATCATAGTCGAATTATTTCGTAAATTAAAAATTTTCATTCTTCTACTCCATAATATTTCTGTCAACAGTTTTTATCTGTTTCAGTCACCATCACTTCACACCTACTTTCTCGATCATATATCGATCAATGATAAACATCTTCCACATGGCCATATAGTTCGACGATATTCTCTCGCATCCATGTTAACAGATGCCTACGGTTATTCACACGAGCAAGGCTATACATCAAATGAAACAAAATTTTTTTTACAAACATGTTTAATACTATTAAATCAGATAAATAAAGGTATGACTGGGATTTCGAGTACTCCGATTATGAAGAACACTTGATGTTTTTAATTTTTCGTCGAATCATCAAAAAAAGAATTTAACTTAGCGAATATAAGAGAGGAGAATGAGAATTCGAACTCTAAACGTAAAATAAAGGCATTATAAAACTAAGACTAGTCGTAAAATATTCACATTCAAGTTGTGTCTAATTCACATCCTAATGACATGCATCACATCTCGGTACTATTTTTCCAGCAGCCCATCTATACAATACATCATCTCCACCTGATGTGGCGACCTCACAGGGACATGAATACGACTCATTTTGTATTTTTAGTGGATAGTTGTGATGCGTTGACCGATTATTTACTATCTCATTTATGTCAAATGGTTATGGACGATGAAATATCCATTCGTCGTCTAAAATTGAAATCGATGATTAGTTACTTAGTTAAGGAATTTATTCAGAATTATTCTCTCTACAAGCTGACACTAAACGATGTTGAATCGGACGTGAAACAAATCAAATATGTTGAAAAGAAACAAATTAGAGGAGTAACATTTCATCCTTTGCCCCTGGAAGAGAGTAAACCAATTCAGTTGTACGAGTATGAAAACGAAATGGAAAATTTAGAAAAACGTCGACAACAAGTGTTGAGACACTATGAACATGAGCGAAATAAATACAACGACGCCTCTCTCTCTTTCGCCTCTGAAGATTTATGCAGTGGTAATGGTGAGAATTGCTACGAGAATGAAAAATTAATCAACTCGAAACAGGTATAAGTGGGAATCTCGAGTCATTTTTAACCAGATAGAAAACTATTACTAAGTCTAGTTTCTTTGTCTTCAAACATAATATAAACGTGTAGTTTCTAAGTAATGCTCTAATACACAAAAAATCGAGGATTTAGTCGGTTTTTTTGTCGAACAAGATTGCCTCTATTGCATTTGTCGCGTTTCATGTCAGAAAATCTACTTCAAGGAATCAGTTATACTAGGTTCCAAAAAAACGGTGTTTGTGGGTATTCTCTCGAACGCAATAAGATAGAGACGCACAGCTTTTAAATATAGACATCTGAGAACGTTGATCTATGGGAAAATCAATCTGAAACTATTATCTACAGGTGTGTACCTTATGGATCTTTTTTGAGAAGATCAACTGATTCTAACGCCTCCTAAGAATCTATTAAAAACATATTAGGTGAAACAACTCATCTTTGGCTTGAATTATGAAATTTTTAATTTTTTTTAAACCTCACGCCCTCAAGTGTCTACTTTCAGATACTAAGAACTGTTCGTCTCTATCTCATTTCGTTCAGGAGAATATCTACAGACACCGGTGTTTTGAAGTGGATAGAGTAGTTCAGAGCAATATAGTATAATCATTTAACTGATGTGTTAGTGAATCAGTTAAACAGTTAACCGATGACTAGTTAACTGGTGCATGTCTGGCTGTATATGTACACGTTTTACTACCATGAAATTCTTCCATATGAGTATTCATGCGCTTTTCTCTCATACCTATCTGAGGCTTCTGTACAGACTAAAGTCTTGTCATATTTATTTTGCCTGAGAGAATACCATGTGCCAAATAGATCTACGCCTGCAAAAAATGAAATGTGCTTTAGATAACATTTATATTTTCAACAATATTAGTTATAAAACATTTTCGATGATATAGAATTATAGCGCAGAATCCACTCTACCAAATAGTTTATTCAAACACTTCATAATACTTTTAGATTAAAAACATTATTGACCGGTGAACTGATCTTTTTTTAATAAAATGATCATATTTTTTTGATCTAAAAGTAAGATGAAGTGTTTGAATAAACTATTTGGTAGAGTGGATTCTGCGCTATAATTCTATATCATCGAAAATGTTGTATAACTAATATTGTTGAAAATATAAATATTTTTGAATCACACTTCCTTTTTAACTGGCACAAGTTTAGTGTCAAAAGACAATAAAAAAACTGCGCATATTCAAAATCGTGCCGATGAGATGTGGAAAATCGCCAGTAATGAAGAAACTTGTTTTCGACTAACACCGGTGAGAACTGATCGGACCGTCGCATGCACATACGTTAACATGTTTCGCCTTATCCATCTACTATGACGAGTTTATATAAAACAAAGGATTCTTTTGAGGCATATTTTTTTAACAAAAAGTTGATCTTTTTTGATCAAGGAGCTACAATCAATGATTCACGAAACGACGAAATTATCGTTTCAAAAATTGGATCAATATTTCCAGTGTAATGTCGATGAGCTCAGGGAAAATATGAGATATCAACTAACCATGGCACGTCTAGTCAAACCGGACATTGGTGAGTGCAATTCGTATCTATTGTTTCGGTATTTTATTTATTATATAACACTAACATTCAAAAATAATCAGCATGTTCGAAGTTAATACTGTATTTCTATGTATAACAAAACCACCCTACAAAAATATTTTTTATCAGCATTGTTTTGGCATTGTTATGAAATACAAATTTTTTCGGCATCTGTGCAGATTAGTACTGAAAGAATATGTAGAAAAAATTGTAATAGTACATACTCGCGATAGCTCTTTTCTTCTTAATAATCTGGCGGCTAAACAATCATAATGTTATTGAAGACCGTACGAAAAGCCTAAAATTATATGAAAGAAATTGTCGCCGACCGTCTACCATAGGGTACAGACACGATTAGAACGAGGCAGTTATTGTCATAAAAAATAACCAACATCGCAGATCTAAAACTAGCAAAAACTGCTGTTAAATATGAACGTTACGTTTCCATACATGAATTAGCACATTTTTGGGCTTGCAAATAGTAGATAATAAAAACAATGATAAACGAAACGGTAGTTCAGTTAAGTAGAGAGAGGAATGAGAATAGGTCATAAGAGGAAATTGTTCTTTTTCATCCTGCATCTCGCAACTAGCGAAGGCGGACTTTTTGAACTATCGTTGGTCATGCAACTTTTCTAGTAATTTTTCATTTCAGGAAAATCGAGGGCTTGAAAGCAGGAGAACTTACCTAAAATCTTCATTATTTAGAACGTATGCGCACAATTATCGATTTGATTATCCACGAAGATCTAAGAGTAAAATATATCTAGAGGTGTAATTCTCAATCTCAGTATTCCAGCTAAAGAAAATACTATTGAAGAACAGAATTCTCTTTATCGAGTTGATTTGAGAAAATTTTTTTTACTGTCTTGTTCCATGATACAGAAACACAATAAGCAATAATGGAGCTGCTTGTCTTTTCCACAAAATTAGCATCAGCGATGCAAGATCTCTTAAAAATTTGTTGCCTTCGGCAGCGCCGGTGGAAAATTTTCAGAAAACTGATCGCCAGTGCGGCTAACATCTCTAAATGCATCTAAAGGCTGCTTTATGTCACCTGACTTAATATGAGTTTCCACTATGTGATATATTCGTGCTCGTTGGTGGCTTGCAATGTGTAGACGTTTATTTCGTTGGCCTTGTTTGATGTATTGAGCGTCTAACCATTATTCCTCATTCACAACATGTTACATTGGCTCTATCAACGGCATATCCTTGTAGGTAGCATCCGGCAAGTTCAACATGAATACTTTCTTTACATATGCGGATCAGTAAAAATTACCGAAGACAAACAAGAAAAAATCACTGCTCTATTTACTGACTCTGAGATCTCATAGAAGTTTGATAGTATACCACAGCCGAGAAATACATTCTGGAAAAGAAAGACCGGTCTTTTCATCTGCAACATTTTTCTTTTCTGCTCTGAAGTGTTTTGTACCATATAGTGGTGAGAGTAAAAATGTGCCTTACGTCATAGAGTCGTGAGATAGAAGAAATCTGTGTATAATAAATCTGTATCAACAAAACAGACTGTAACAGTTATTTTCTAGTTTTGTACGCACTGATTTGATTACTTTTTTGAAATAAAACACAAAAGCTGTGTGTTATTGATGAACAGAGCGTGATAAATATGATCAATAAGAATCTGTATATAAGTGTAGCTTTACAGATATTTTCTTTTGATACTGTCTTTTCATCACTGACGACGTTAATTTCGTATCATATACCAAAACAAATAAGGTCTCTCAATTTTTCATTGTGTGTGTGACCTCAAACTGCAAAATAAATAAAAGTACTTATATATTCTGAGATGAAAACTGCAAAATATTTTCAAAACTCAAGATCTTTTCTGCATTTATTTCATTCATTTTATACTGTGGGACTTCCTGAAATAACATTATATCGAGTTTTTCTACGTCATTATAAATCGATCGTTTCAATAAAAGTAGCTTGATAGTTGCTGAGCATAGATGTGTATTAGTATTAGTCAATACTCAATGTCATATCGTGCACGACCGAGCACTGAAACTTTTTTATAGCTATTCTTTTATACATTTTTAGGTTACATTCGAGAGGTGCTCGATACACCAACGAAAAACAAGTTAAATTCGGTAAAAAAAGATGGAAAAACAAACAAAAATTTGGAGAAGAAAATTGGTGGGAAAGGAAAAAATTAAACGTTGCAGTTTCACGCCATTTTTATATTAGTCATAATCGTACAATCTTTGCTTTCACGAATAAAATCTTTTTTTGAATTTATTCTAAAAGAAACACGAAGATTTCAATTGTAATGTATTGCCTAAATATCCGAGGATAAATAGACCTCATCGTTCATTTGCCTACGCTTTTTACAGCTATCTTCAACTTCGCTTCACTGCGTTATTAATCAAATGTAAAATAAAAAATTCGTACTTTTCAATATAAAATGTATATAAGCATTAAATTTGCCGTGTCAGTACGCTAAGTTGAATAATAATGGCATCTGATGTAGCCATTTTTCAGAGGGTTTCCTTGTTAAAAATCAAAATAACGCAAAAGAATAGCAACTTCCGTAAAACAAAATTTTTCCGTAAAAAAATTTCCATACACAAAATTTTGCAAAACGGTCGATTAATACAGAATTTTGTAAATATTTTGTTGTAGAACAGCAGAGTTTTGCAATAATTTCGCTTTTATAACCAGTTTTTGCGTTCCATCACTTATGTTTTGCATATTTTTTGCGTGATCACGCAAAAGAAATTTTGGTTTTGACGACATAGGATAGGTCTGTTCTATACTGCTTTTTTGAATATTATTGCAGTAGATTAGAGATGCCTTTTTTCACATTGCCTGCGTTTCTGTAATGTTATTTTTCTTTTACTGATAATGTGAAACAAAGAACGAAGAAAAAATAATCGTATCTGAAACACTAAACATAGGAAAAAGCGCAAGGATTTTTGTGTGATATAATATTTAATGAAACTTACAACCAACGAAGTGGCGGAGAGTAAAACACGTTCAATTCGTTAGATAGGTAAGCTGAAACCTAATTTTATTCGTATTTGCGAGACGTAGGTACCCCTCTGATTTAGATAAACAGCGAAACAGATCAAGTTGTGAACTTTGTATCACCAGTATTATCCCTACATGGTAAGAATTCTTCTGCATGTTGCGATTAGTCATCTAATGAGCATTAAATAAGAAGTAGAAAGAAAACAAACATTTCTTTATTCTTCTCTTGTCGATGGTGTCAGTTGTCAATCACTAACAGCTGATTATTATCAGCTCAACATTTACCAGGCATATCGAATAGTCGTATCTCCTACTGATATTTTTCGTTTTTTATACACAAATACTCAGGAAACACTATCAATTGATACGTATTCCAAGAGTACGTCGTAGTAGTTAGTATTTTTAGACGAGTTATTCCACGTGCTTATTTCGTTCGCAAAACGTTTACGCATGCACACAAAAATCGTGAAGTGCATCTATATTAAAATTGCATTTATGTAGCTTAAATCTGGTTGCAGCTAAAAACGAATCGTGACCTTCTTCTCAGTGTAGCTAGATTCACGCCAGCTTCAGTTGGATGCTATCAGTTGATGCAGCATTTCAGCCCATTTTCAGGTAGAAGATGATTCCAATCCTGTTGCAGCTATTGTCGGTAAAAAAAAGAATGGACTCGGATGTTTCTCGAATAACGTTCGACAGGAAAGTGGTAGATGTTTGCGGCCTTTATCAATTGGAAGCCAAGAGCTGACTGCATCTTTTCGTCAAAAAGTCATTTTGAAAATCTTTTCCTAAAGCAGCTTTTTAAGAAGATCTTTGGAAAACCGGATAATAACTCAAAAACTTGAGATATAAATAGTTTGTTTTTTTATCCACGGACAGATAGTCCAAAGTGTCCTCTTCAAAATGGGAGTCAAGCGAAACTCTCATCTTCCATTATTTAGGCTTGGCATCGGATTTCCTGGGTGCCTCAGGACTGATCTTTTTCACATGTTAGAACCTCAGAAATGGCTCAAGACAGGGGTTATCGAACACGCTGAATCTCATGGTAATGTTTGTTTTTAGGAAGAGTTCAAAGATTTACTGAAAACTAAGTGTTACAAAAACTGAAGTTTTCAGCTTGGTTTTACCTACGGATGGGAAACGGTTTCTGCTAGAAAATGGCCCAATATGATTTTGAGTGAAAATGGCTAAAAATGCTTTCCTTTCACTTCCCAACACTTCTGACTTTCAAAAATTGCTCCTGATCTCCTAGAAAAACTTATTTCTTACCGGTTTTCGTCACTAGTTCAATGAAGGTCATTCACCTTATTTCTCAAATTTTTCGTACGATTTCAAAGACTTTTGACAAAGCTTATACATAGAAAGATAGAGAATTTTCTGCGCTTCAAAAAGAGCTATTGACAAGCTTCTCAAGCATATGCCCATATAGGACAATTGTCGAAATACTCGACAGATATCATGATTTTCACCTATCGTAAAGCTTTAAAAGAATATTTCTTCCATACATCTGCTCAGACAAGCTTCAAACAAGCTATAGTATGTTGTTTCAAACATTAAGTTTAATAGACTTATTGGCAAAATACCGAACGGATACAGTAGGTTTAATCTGTGACAGAACAGTGAATGGTGTAAATATGGGGAGACCCAGAATAGCTTTCATACAAAAAAATGCAAGAAATAACAAGGTTCAAACTGAAATACATTAGATTCTTGTAAATGTTTACCTTCATACATTTCTACACTAAATACTATACAACAATGATGATTTTTGCTTAAAGTACGTGACAAAAGTAAATACTATACAACAATGATGATTTTTGCTTAAAGTACGTGACAAAAGTTGACTTTTGTCACGTACTTTAAGCAAAAATCATCATTGTTGTATAGTATTTAGTGTAGAAATGTATGAAGGTAAACATTTACAAGAATCTAATGTATTTCAGTTTGAAGCTTGTTATTTTCTGCATTTTTTCGCCTAAACAATCGAAGATGAGTCTCTTGACTCCCATTTTGAAGAGGACACTTTGGACTATCCATTCGTGGAAAAAAAACCAAACTATTTATATTTCAAGTTTTTGAGCTATTATCCACTTTTCCAAAGATCCTCTTAAAAACCTGCTTAACGTTTTCAGAAAAATCAGTTTTGTAGGTTCATGGGAAACTTCTGATAGATATTTGTTCGCACTCTAGTGACGTTTTTTCTTTCAAGCGCATACATAGAGAAACTCATCCCTAATTAATCTCTAGCTTTGTAGAAGGTTTTTGGCGCGTTACGCTTGGTTCTACCATGTTTTACTTGAACTTTTCTTCGAGAACATAGTACACTCAATTTTTAATGCTTCCATCATGCCACAAGCTCTATCTGAAAAGGAAAAGTCAATGAATTAGATAGTATCATACTGCTACGACGTACATGATTAGATTTTATTCAAATCTGCAGTAATTCTATCTCAAGCGTTCGACGAGTAACACTCGGCATCATCAGGAGAAGAAGGTCACGATTCGTTTTTAGCT